TCTTTCTTCTCCGACTCTCCTTCCCTTCCTTCATCTTCTCTCCCTCCCTCCTTTTATTCTTCTTTTTCTTTCTCTCTGTCCTTTTCATTGCTCTCTCTAGTCTATATTATGCCTTATCGTCTTCTCATCCTTTCCTTTCCTTTCCACCCACCTCCCTCCCTTCTTCTCCCTTCCCTTCCCCTTTAATCATCCTAGTTGCTCTTCTCTGCACTTTTTCCAGAGTTTCGGCATCTTTCTTTTTTCTACATTGCGGTGGCCAAAACTGAATGCAAGATTCCGAGCGTGGCCTTTACACCTTGCAACCAGTTCGGTTCTTCTCAAGAGTCGGAGGGTCGTATCGAATGAAATGACATGAAACGTAACCGGCAGCCTGGTTCCCTCAGACTGGCATGCAGCATTTCAGGGGGGCGGGGCCACTGCCACCCCACCCGCTTTCAGATTCAACAACTCCGCAGCCCCCTACCTGAGGTTGGTGTGATTGGAGCAGCGGGCAGGCCGTTCAAGCTGACGGTGCCAATCTGCTGGATGTGGCATGGCGAGAAAGTGAGGCTGGGGCTGAGAAAGCTACCCTGGGAAGCCGACAGGACCGTCTGCTGCTGCATCAGCTGTCACAGAGAAGGTGGGGGGGGGGAATAAGTCAGCTATAAGCTTATGAGGTAGATTTCCAGGGGCTGGTTTTGGCCAACGAGGAAGAGGGAGGATTCAGAAATACATATAAATAATTTTCACGGAATTAGGTTGTACACTGAAAAGAACTCTTTTTTTTATTTTGTTTTGGAAAAATTGAATAAAACTTGTTAAAAAAAAAAGAAAGAAATACATATAAATAATTAAAAAAATACTTTTGCAAAGAAGGTATTAATGGAGCATCAGTAGCAGAACTCAACATAATTCAGGTAGTCCTTGACTTATGACCACAACGGAGCTCAAAATTCCTGTTGCTAAGCAAGATGGTTGTGAAGTGAATTTTGCCCCCTTTTATGACCTTTCTTGCCTCCTCAGTTGTTAAGATTTATTTCACAGGATCCAATCAGCCGTGGGATCCCACTACCAGTTGGGTGATCTGGCGCATGCGTGCGCCTAACGTGCAGGCCAGTGGTGGGATTCAAAAAGTTTGACCACCAGTTTGGTGGGCGTGGCTTGGTGGGTTTGTGCGTGAGCATGTTGTTGAAAGGCTGTCAAAATGCCTTTCTTCTGAGGATTCGATTTTCCTGCTGGGAGAGCTCCGGTGCAAGGATACAGACAACTGCTTGAAAGCTGGATCTTTTTATTTTTTTCAGGAAGGCGAGAGATAGCAAGAAGTCTGCGTTCCTGGGGCTAGCTAGCTAACTTTGAATGGTGAATTCCTGGTTCTTTATACCTTTTTTCTCCCTTTGTGTGTGAATGTTCGTTTAGTGTTTAATGTTTAATGTTTAGATATTAAAATCCTGTCAGAGTTTAATTTTCGCCGGAAGGCATACTTAGCGAGGTGTGGAAAATAAACTCTGCGGGGCAGCTTGATTGCCTTATCGGTTCTTTCTTAATCTCTTTTACCTTTATAATGGGTTTTTTCTATTTGTTTTCTGGCAATCTCCTGTCTGTTTCCTATGTAATTTATTCTGTGTCTTTTGTTTGTTTGTTTTGCTGATTTGGCCTGTAAGTGTTTTTTTTTCCTTGTTTCCCTAACTTTCTTAATTACTTGGCTTTTGTCTAGGAGGCTCCTTTCAATACTTTTTATTAAATTTCTTTTCCTATGCAAGTTTGTTCTATGGCTGGCCTGATGTTCCCCTTGGGCTTTTCCTGCTTGGGTGTCACCACTGTCCTCGTGAAGTTCCCTTTCCACAATGTGCACACAATTTGCGTGTGCACCTGCACCAAACATGCATTTTGCGCAGGCGCAGAGGCATTCCAACTCACCTCCTGCAAGCCTGCACGATCCCGGTCGCTTCAGCAGCTGCCACGTTTCCCAGTCCCGATGGGAAGAAAACGGGCTTGCGTCCCATTGATACTCACCGCCTGAGCGTAGGCGCTGTACGGGCTGAAGGGCAAGGCGAAAGACGGGGTGAGGATGCCAAGCTGCCCCACCATCTGCTGCACTCGTCGCAGCGTCCGCTCCTTGTCTGTGTCCGCGAACTTCACCACGAGGCTGGAAGAAGCACCCTGCTAGACAAAAAGGCAAACTTGGGGTGGGAAAAGAGTGGACAAACTGGGGCGATGGTGGTTTAAGAAGAGGTTGGACAACCGTTTTATCTAGAATGGTAGAGGGTCTTCCTTTTTGAGCAGGGGGTTGGACTAGATGACCTCCGAGGCCCCTTCCAACTCTGTGATTCTGTTATTTCCCTGGAACGGTAGTGTGGCTCCTGCTTAAGCAGGGGGTTGGACTAGATGACCTCCGAGG